TAATGGGCCCCAAAACCCTGTTTTGAGTATTAAACTCCCTTGTTTCTATGCCTGAGGAACTCTGTGGATGACACCGGCAAGACGCCTCTCCACAGTGTTGCGAGCATGGGCACAGGGCGGGGATGCCAAGGGGCTTTTCGGGTTTTTTGGTTTTGGCTTAGGGTTTCAGGTTTTTGCGATCACTCTGCATCGCGTAAGTGTCCAGGTCGTGCGAAGGGTGATCGGTTCGAGTGTGGGGTTTAGACACAAGCTGACCCTATGGCACTCGTAGCACTCTTTGCCGTGGACTTGATGTATGCATTTGTAACTAGAGGTTCCGGACTTGTACAAGCTTGAATGCAACCAACTGGGTATCGGCCTTGAATGGAATGCAACCAACTAGCTGTAGGAACAGATAATTCTTGAGCTGTTCCAGTCTCAGCTCCCTTTTACAAGGTGTTTTGGATTGGGGGCCCCAAACCCTCAACCCTGAACCCCAAGCCCTAAGCCCGAAGGCTGAATCCGAATCGCCGAAGTCTTACGGAGAGGGGCCGTGGGTTTGGGGGTGTCAGGTCTGGGATCCTGGGCGCACCCTGTGAGCCGAATGAAGCTGTGCTAATCGCATCTGAATGCCGCAAGGCTTGCCAATGCTTGTCTGGGTTTTTGGGCACTCCGACTCATATTTCTCGGAGAGAGCAAACAACAGCATGTAGAAGTGTCTGTAAAAAGTAACTTGGGTGGGGTTTTCAAGTTCGGAGTACACTATGGCATGATGCTGAGATGATGAAGCATGAGGCGATACTATGACTGTTTCGAAAACAATATCCGGCTTCACTAGTTGGCTACGGGTTAACGGTACAAGGGTGAGGTTTCGAATTGGGTGACCGGTTTCGGGTAGGTAGCCTCCAGCCCACACGAACTAGGGTTGCAATTTCTAGTACCCCTGAAACAATTACATGGCACCCCCCCCCAATACAAACACAAACCAATATTCGATTGACGGAACCCTGTATACACTCTTCAAGGCCAAACCTGTTCTACAGTATCCTACCCTTTTAAAACTGTCCATCCTTCATCTCTTTTTCCGACCTTGATGTCAGTAACTTTACAAGTCCCGAGCTTGATGAAAGCCAACTCTTTGCAGGGGTCAAACCTTGGGAGAGGTAAGGCTAAGGGTTTTAGGGGGGTTTTCTGATCTAAATGGGAGTTTCCGAAAAT